AAGCCTCACCAAAACACACCATTATACTACACCAGGATCCGGGATAATTACACACCTATATTGCTTTTGTTAGATAGCGTAGTTGGGTAGTTTACTGCGAACCGTTGTTTACAAGTGAAGTAGTTACACCGACGTACTAACTGGTGTAAGAGAGATGCGTAGTTATTACCCTCAGTAACACAGGTGAGAGGGACACGTGGTTGGTTATGTGGTCTTATTAAGGGGGGACAATAAGAGTATAAGACCCTACTGGAGGTCACCTGGTAAGACCTGGGGACTTCTATAGTACTCAGGATCTGTTAGAACCCTCGAGTACGACCTGGGGACTCCTATAGTACTCAGGATCTGTTAGAACCTTCGAGTACGACCTGAGGACTCCATAGTACTCAGGATCTGTTAGAACCCTCGAGTACGACTGGGGACTCCTATAGTACTCAGGATCTGTTAGAACCCTCGAGTACGACTTGGGGACTCCTATAGTACTCAGGATCTGTTAGAACCCTCGACGACCTGGGGACTTCTATAGTACTCAGGATCTGTTAGAACCCTCGAGTACGACCTGGGGACTCCTATAGTACTCAGGATCTGTTAGAACCTTCGAGTACGACCTGAGGACTCCAATAGTACTCAGGATCTGTTAGAACCCTCGAGTACGACTTGGGGACTCCTATAGTACTCAGGATCTGTTAGAACCCTCGAGTACGACCTGGGGACTCCTATAGTACTCAGGATCTGTTAGAACCCTCGAGTACGACTTGGGAACTCCTAAAATTCTCAGGACCTGTTAGGGGCTGAGGACCACACACGACCTGGCTGAACCTGTTGGGACACCGAGGACTATGACCAGGTGCCTCCAGGTCGTCTTGTTTAGTATAAGACCTGAGGGCTCCAGGTCGTGTAGAGTAGCCGGGTAGCGTGTAAGAGGTGAGGAGAAAGGGAGGGAAGTGAGGAGAGAGAGAGAGAGAGAGAGAGAGACCCGCCGGATAGTGAGGGGTGAAGGAGGAGGGATAGAAGGAGTAGCCGGATAGTGAGGGGTGAGGGAGGAGGGATAGAAGGAGTAGTCGGATGGTGAGGGGTGAGAGAGGAGGGATAGAGGGAGTAGCCGGATAGTAAATGGGATAGGAGACTGGAGGGATAGAGGAGATGAAGAGGAAGGGAACTGTGCCGGAACAACAACATCCTCAACAGGGAAATGAAAGTAACTTATCAAAAGCCGGAGGTGTGAAAAGTTTGGTACTGCTCAGGATGTCAACCTAACCTAACCTAACCTAACCTAACCTAACCTGGGGTCTGGGGGAAGACTTTGGGGTCTAGGTCAGGTCAGGTCAACACGACTCCACAATATATTCATCAAGTACTATTTATCTTGACGCTACTTCTCTTCACTAATTCATTTCTGTAGATCCAATTACATCTTTATCAGCCTTTCTCTCTTTCTCTTCCTTTCAAAATTGATGCCTTAAATGATATCACTGTAGGGGACTAACACCACGTATATGCGTCTGCTCAAAGTCCAATCGTTTTTTAGAGTTATAACATAAACACTACGAACAACACACCCTGACACATCCCTGGACTGTGCTGGGTGATACATAAAATTGCTTTAAAAGGTTCAAAATTCACGATAAAATCCAACGCGTCTCCCTTCACTCTGTCCCACGTCATATTCCAAAGAACCAAGTCTATTTACTACACTGTTTTCAGGGATTAGCGAGAGGCATCCTTGTACACCTCCTCTCAGGTTAGTTAGTTGAAGTACAATGTTAATACTGGATCAGATGTTGAGAGTCAATGCATTTTTTGATGATCTCTGATTCGAGTGAAATTAAAAAAATAAATAAACCCCAAAGTTATTTAAATCATTTACTAAAGCTTACATGAAGGTATCTGTGCCAAGGTTAAAGTATATTGGATAAATCACAAGAGACTAATTGACCAAAGCTTCTAAGTTAGGCAGCTTCATGACCTCTGGCTAATGTTTATACTGTAACACTCTTCCCCGAGAATATTACATAGCACCACTAGCGAGGTTCTCATACAAATATATTTTATCTTCATTGGCCAAACATCCAAACAGCAGCTAGAACAACTTATAAATCTGAGTTGTTTGACCTTTGACCCCATAAGAAGACCAAAATACGAGAACTTAAAAAGGTGTTCTGGGTGTATTGGAGGGAGGGACAAGCCTGCCAAGTTTCACATTAATTAATTGGCCATCATATGAAGGAGTGACGATTAATTGTTAATTGTTTCCAGGAAGAGGAATGGGAAGAGCAGACGAAGAAAATAATAAGAAAAAAATGAAGAAAAGGAAAAATGATAAATAATAATAACAATAACAATAATAATAATAATAATAATAATAATAATAATAATAATAATAATAATAAAAATAATAATAATAATAATAATAATGAAGATGATGATGATATTATAACAGGAACACCATTAGATTATAATTATGCAAAACAACAACCTTAAAATTAACTTTACATCTTTATCTACGACACTACAAAAACATTATCACCCACGAAATAAAATCTTTAAAATTACCAGAAAAAAAATGTAATAATGATATAATTAAGGATAATAATGAAGGGTGGTGGAAAATAGTGGGTGAGAGGCGAGGGATCAGGGCAGGTAAGACAGGTGAAAGAATACCTGTATAAAACTATATTTTTTTCCCTGATCACCTGAGGTCCTTCGTCAGGGAGACCTTGATGAACCTGTAGCTACTGCTGCTGGGGTGGCAGAAGGAGGGTGGAAAAGTGGAGGAGAGAGAGAGAGAGAGAGAGAGAGAGAGAGAGAGAGAGTGTTTACGTCGCTTACACCACAAACACCTTACTGGATGTTTTGATGTTCTGTTTGAGTATTTTATTGAGGGATCGGTGTTATGGGAGTCGAACCAATGGTACTTTGTGAGGTAGTGTGTTTTGTCTTGTAAGAGGGTTAGGTTAGGTTAGCTTAGGTTAGGGTAGGCTTAGGTTAGGTTAGGGTAGGGTAGGGTTAGGTTAGGGTTAGTGAGGTTAGGTTTGGGTAGATCAGGTTAGATTTACTGAAGTGATTATTGTGGTATAACTCTAAATGTATGGCCTTTGATTTGTATATTGAATCTCTCTCTCTCTCTCTCTCTCTCTCTCTCTCACGGTTATTGGTCGTGGGAACATAATTGATAACTAGTCCACCAAGCCAAGCCAGTAAACACCTTGTATGTTACTAGAATTTGGCGGGAAATATGTGTAAAGTTGGCGGGGAAATATGAATAAATTTGACGATTAAAAAAACCACTCGGAGACTGTTAACATCATTGAATTAACACACACACACACACACACACACACACACACACACACACAGCATCTCTCCTGACCATTGTACTTACTTACATCTGAACACCTGAGCTGATGTGACGATGGTGGTACTGGGTGAAGCCTTAGTTTACCTGGTGAAGCCTTAGTTTATCTGGTGAAGCTTTAGTTTACCTGGTGAAGCTTTAGTTTACCTGTTTACCTGTGAGGCCTTAGTTTACCTGGTGAGGCCTTAGTTTACCTGATGAGGCCTTAGTTTACCTGGTGAGGCCTTAGTTTACCTGGTGAGGCCTTAGTTTACCTGGTGAGGCCTTAGTTTACCTGGTGAAGCTTTTAGTTTACCTGTGAAACCTTAGCTGGTGAAGCCTTAGTTTACCTGGTGAAGCCTTAGTTTACCTGGTGAGGCCTTAGTTTACCTGGTGAAACCTTAGTTTACCTGGTGAGGCCTTAGTTTACCTGGTGAAGCCTTAGTTTACCTGGTGAAGCCTTAGTTTACCTGGTGAGGCCTTGAGTTTACCTGGTGAAACCTTAGTTTACCTGGGTAGCCTTAGCTTACCTGGTGAGGCCTTAGTTTACCTGGTGAGACCTTAGTTTACCTGGTGAGACCTTAGTTTACCTGAGAGGCCTTAGTTTACCTGGTGAGGCCTTAGTTTACCTGGTGAGGCCTTAGGTTTACCTGGTGAGGCCTTAGTTTACCTGGTGAGGCCTTAGTTTAACTGGTGAGGCCTTAGTTTACCTGGTGAGGCCTTAGTTTACCTGGTGAGGCTTAGTTTACCTGGTGAGGCTTTAGTTTACCTGGTGAGGCTTTAGTTTACCTGGTGAGGCTTTAGTTTACCTGGTGAGGCCTTAGTTTACCTGTTGAAGCTTTAGTTTACCTGGTGAGGCTTTAGTTTACCTGGTGAGGCCTTAGTTTACCTGTTGAAGCTTTTAGCTTACCTGGTGAGGCTTTTAGTTTACCTGGTGAGGCCTTAGTTTACCTGTAGGCCTTAGTTTACCTGGTGAGGCCTTAGCCTGGTGAGGCCTTAGTTTACCTGGTGAGGCCTTAGTTTACTGGTGAGGCCTTAGTTTAACTGGTGAGGCCTTAGTTTACCTGGTGAGGCCTGTTACCTAGAGGCCTTAGTTACCTGGTGAGGCTTTAGTTTACCTGGTGAGGCTTTAGTTTACCTGGTGAGGCTTTAGTTTACCTGGAGGCCTTAGTTTACCTGGTGAGGCCTAGTTTACCTGGTGAGGCCTTTAGTTTACCTGGTGAGCCTGCTACCTGGTGAGGCCTTAGTTTACCTGGTGAGGCTTTAGTTTACCTGGTGAGGCTTTAGTTTACCTGGTGAGGCTTTAGTTTACCTGGTGAGGCCTTAGTTTACCTGTTGAGCTTTAGTTTACCTGGTGAGGCTTAGTTTACCTGGTGAGGCCTTGGTTTACCTGGTGAGGCCTTATTTACCTGGTGATGGTGATAATAACTCCTCACCTCGGCTCCTCCTTAACCACTCGTCAAACTTGTTTATTTACCGGACAATAAAGTACACCCCATTTTAATCACCATTCACCCCGCCCCCCCAAGTCCCATGCCCCCCTCACCCCACCTCACCCCCCCGCCCCTCACCCCCCTGGCCCCCCCACCCCTGCCCTCACGTCCCATGCCCCTTCACGTCCCATGCCCCTCACCCCTGCCCCTTCACGTCCTGCCCCTCACGTCCCATGCCCTCTCATCCCATGCCCTCTCACGTCCCATGCCCCTCACGTCCCATGCCCTTCACGTCCCATGCCCTCTCACGTCCCATGCCCCTCACGTCCCATGCCCCTCTCACGTCCCATGCCCTCTCACGTCCCATGCCCCCACGTCCCATGCCCTTCCACGTCCCATGCCCCTCACGTCCCATGCCCTCACCCATGCCCTCCCCACGTCCCCCTCACGTCCCATGCCCTCACGTCCCATGCCCCCTCACGTCCCATGCCCTCTCACGTCCCATGCCCTCCTCACGTCCCATGCCCTCACGTCCTGCCCTCACGTCCCATGCCCTCTCCTCACGTCCCATGCCCCCTCACGTCCCATGCCCCTTCACGTCCCATGCCCTCACGTCCCATGCCCCCCACGTCCCATGCCCCTTCACGTCCCATGCCCTCACGTCCCATGCCCCCACGTCCCATGCCCTCTCACGTCCCATGCCCCTGTCCCATGCCCCTCACGTCCCATGCCCTCACGTCCCATGCCCCTCACGTCCCATGCCCCCTCACGTCCCATGCCCTCACCGTCCCATGCCCCCACGTCCCATGCCCTCCTCACGTCCCATGCCCCTTCACGTCCCATGCCCTCACGTCCCATGCCCTCACACGTCCCATGCCCTTCACGTCCCATGCCCCTTCACGTCCCATGCCCTCACGTCCCATGCCCTCACGTCCCATGCCCTCTCACGTCCCATGCCCTCACGTCCCATGCCCTCTCACGTCCCATGCCCCTCACGTCCCATGCCCTCACGTTCCATGCCCTCACCCTGCCCTCACGTCCCATGCCCTCACACGTCCCATGCCCTCACGGCCTATGCCCTCACCTTCACCTCACCCTTCACCTCCCCCTTTCATTTCTTCTTTTCAACCCTTTAATACTTAAGGTCGTGTACAAACATTAATTATAAATTCAAGAGAGGATGAATATTCTATTAGCAACGAAATGAAGAAATCGATAATTTTCTGGAAGATCGGCCGATGGTTTGACGTTAAGATGAAGAGAAGGAGGAGAGGAAGACAAGCATAGTGACCAGGGACAAAAGCCAGTGGAGATTATCCCTGAAATCTGGCTCGGTCGTTCGCTCCCCTCACCTTCCTCACCTGCCAGGTACCACCATATCGTTTAAACTTTCCTTCCTCCTCTTCTTTTTATTTTCTCCTCTTTCTATTTCTCTTCTCTATCCATTTTATCCTGTTTCTATTCCTCTTTCCTATCCCATTTTTCTCCTCTCCTATTCTTCCTTCCCTTCCCTTTACCACTAGTCATCCTCCACCTTTCTCATCCCTCTCCTCCTCCCCTTCCACTCACTTTACTCCTCCTTTTCCTATTCCCCTTCCCCCTACCCTTAATGCTCCCCTTCCCCTTCCCCTTAATGCCCCCTTCTTCCTTCCTTCCCCAAAACCCATTATAGGTCGCCCTTACGCTCTTCCTTACCTCCCACCTTAACTCACGTATACAATGCGGTATGATGAAAGTGAGAGACGTGTTATCTTTGCTAGCGGGAGAGATAGAGAGAGAGACGCGACCCTCATCCCTGTGAGATAGAGAGAGATGACCCTGATCTCTTATGGCTGTGAGATAGTGAGAGACGACCCTGATCCCTGTGTGAGAGAGAGAGAGAGAGAGAGAGAGAGAGACGTCCCTGATCCCCGTGAGATAAATCTGAGGGAGGACTTTTTTCGCACATATTCAGTTCAGTCGGGGTTAAGGAGTGTTGTGTTGAGCAGGAAGACTCCGTGCCGGTAGACAGGAGGGAACAGTGGCGACTGACAGCTCTCTGGCTCACCACTAATGATGGCAGCCCTCGTCAGCCCCGGGATTACATCTTCTGTAGGTGGGGGTGAGAGGAGGAGGAGGAGGAGGAAGAGGAAGGATTTACCTGCAAAAAAATATGTGCGCCAGATTTTAAGATTTATTCTGATTGAAGATGCTCTGATATGGAGGAGGAGGTGAGGGGTGGGGGGGAGGGGGGGGGGAGAGGGGGAGGATTTACCGGAGTGATATAGAACTCTCCACCGACGGCCATGACTTGAGGGGAATAAAATGTATGATTCGTATCAATCTTAAATGACGGCCTATGTGTGTGTGTGGAGGGAGGATTTTCTTGTGGGGGGAGGGAGATGGAGGATTCTCTCACGGTAAAAGCGACCTGATTATTTTCTGTCCTTCAGCAGACACGCTCAGGAGGCTAAGATTATCTGTCTGTTGTGGAGAGACAGAGAAGAGAAAGAGAGTGAGAGACAGACAGAAAGAGAAAGGGAGGAGAGATAGACAGAAGGAGAAATTAGTAGAGAGGAGATTAGGTAAAAGGAAAAAATATGGCCGAAAGAGGAGAAATTAGAGGAGAGAGAGAGAGAGAGAGAGAGAGAGAGAGAGAGAGAGAGAGAGAGAGGAAGGAAGGAAGGAAGAGGAAGGAGAGAGAGAGAGAGAGAGTTGATGAATGAAACAAGTAGTTTTATGACGGCCAAAGTA